CCAGGCAGGTCTCGAACCACGGGCTCAGCAATCCACTCACCTCAGCCTCCCAAAGCGCGGGATTACAGGCTGAGCCACCGAGCCTGGCGGTAATTTTTTTTAGAAGTTCTACAGTGAGTGGCTGCCCCCACTTACTCCACTGCGACATTAATTTCTTAGGAGTCCCGGGACCTTCTGACTCTATAAGCCCAACACCCACAAGTCAAGCGATGAGCAATGCACCAGCAGGTCTTTGTTCTGATCCTGGTTCTACCATAGATTGACCTTGTCGCCCCGGAAAAGTCACCAAAACTGAACTTCTCTGAGCCTTAGTTTCCTCCTCTCCAAAATGGGGATAATATCTGCTTTGCAGCCCTCACAAGGCTACTAGGAAGGTCAAACCGGATAATGTGCGTGAGAGCACTCTGAAAATGTAAGCCCAGCCTAGGTGAGAGACACTACTAACATCACTTCTGCTAGAATTGGAAAATTAAGAAATAAGTGGGCAGGATGTGGCCGGCACATTCCCTAATGTCCAGGAATGTCCTACACAAAGGGCATGGTGCCAGCAAGACTGGAAGAACCAAACCCACAGGCCTCTTCACTCTCAGTCTTTTTTGTTTTTTTAAGTTGGAGTCTCACTGTGTCACCCAGGCTTGGAGTGCAGTGGCAACACTCACGGCCACCACAGCCTCGACCCGGTGGGCTCAGGCAATCCTTCCACCTCAGCCTTCCAAGTAACTGGAACCACAGGCATGTGCCACCATGCTTGGCTAGTTTTTTGATTTACTGTAGAGACGAGGTCTCGTCAAGTTGCCCAGTCTGGTCTTGAACCCTGGGCTTAGGCAATCTTCTCGCCTCAGCCTCCAAAGCGCTGGGATTACAGGCGTGAGCCAGTGCCCGGCACTCTCAGTCTTGGATTGCCAAGTAAGGTGTGACCTTAGAACACGAACCAGAGCGCGAGGGGGAAAGAAAGGAAAATAGAAACACTCTCGCCTGTTCAGCCTGCAGACATGTTACCTACCTCAAGACCTGAAGCTTCTGCAAAGCTGCTTTGATTGTGGCACATGCCTTCCTGAGCCATCTTCTGCTGTTTGATATCGAGCATGGCGAGGGCCTCCAAATATTGTTGATTCAAAACTAGGAAGGGCCATACCAGAACGTGTTGGTTATAAAGTCTAACTCCAGTGCCCTACCATCTAGTCATACCAACATCACATACTCTTTTTCTTGTTTTGAGTCAGTGTCTCACTCTGTCAGTCAGGCAGGAGGGCAGTGGCACTCTCACCGCCAACGGAGCCTCTACCTGCTGGGCTCAGGCGATCCTTCCACCTCAGCCTTCCAAGTGGCTGGAACCACAGGCATGTGCCACTATGCCCGGCTAATTTTTCTTGATTTATTATAGAGATAAGGTCTCACCAAGTTGCCAAGGCTGATCTCGAACCCTTGAGCTCAGCCAGTCCTCTTGCCTTTGCCTCCCAAATTTCTGAGATTACAGGCATAAACCACCATGCCTGGCTTACATACTCCTTTCTTTCTTTCTTTTTTCACTGAAGTCTCACTCTGTCACACAGGCTGGAGTGGTATGCTCAAAGCCACCACAGCCTTGACCTGCTGGGCTCAGGGGATCTTTCTACCTTACCCTTCCAAGTGGCTGAAACTACCACCATGCCCGGCTAAGTTTTTTCTTTTATGGTAGAGACAAGGTCTCGCCAAGTTGCCCAGGCTGGTCTTGAACCCCTAGGCTCAGGCAATCCTCTCATCTCAGCCTCCCAAAGTGCTGGGATTACAAGCGTGAGTCATCGTGCCCGGCTACATATTCATTTCTTAAGAGCACTGCATAATCCACAAGATCTGGATTCATTCGGAAAACCTATCTGACAGAATGGTAGGTATCATGTGAGAGAAATATATGGAGCTGAGATGCTGTTATTTTTACATGAAAGCATCTTGACTCTGCAGCCAAAGTCTGCTCCTTGTTTGCTCTTCAAAAATGTGTAGGATTCTCAAAAAGGGAACATGTAAAGGCAAATTATCTAGACAATTTATGGATAGCAAGACAACTAGATGGTGAGATCTCCTCTATTGTATTAATGTCAAATGTACCAGCGAGTCAGACTCTACCAGATTTTTCTTTTTTGAGTTGAAGTCTCACTCTGTTGCCCAGACTGGAGTGCAGTGGCCGCTCCTGGCCACTGCAGCCTTGACCCGCTGGGTGATCCTTCCGCCTCAGCCTTCCAAGTAGCTGGAACTACAGGTGCGCTACCACACCCAGCTAGTTTTTGATTTATTGTAGATATGCAGTCTCGCCAAGTTGCCCAGGCGGGTCTCGGACCCGCGGGCCCAGGCAATCTACTCACCTCGGCCTTCCAAAGCATGGGATTACAGGCTGAGCCACCAAGCCCGGCCCAGATGTTTCTATTAAGAGCTTTCACAAAAGACTCTCAAACCAAAGATTTAGAACAAGAGATGTCCTCAGCTCAGACAACATAGCAACACCTCGTCTCTACAAAAAAACTCAAAAGATTAGGTGGCTCACGCCTATAATTCCAGAACTTTGGGAAGCCAAGGCAGGATAATCAATTGAGCCCAGCAGTTCGAGACCAGCCTGGGCAACACAGTGAGGCCTTGTCTCCATAAAAAAGTACAGAAAGTAGCTGGGCATGGTGGCATGCACAGCCTCTCAGCTACTCAAGAGCCTGAGATGGAAGGATCACCTGAGCCCAGGAGGTCAAGGCTGTAGTGATTCATGATCATGCGACTACATTCCAGCCTGGGAGACAGAGTGAGACGCCCAACTCAGAAAACATAAATAAATAAGAAAGCGGTCCTGCTATCTACTGGAGAGTAGAAACCAGTAACTTCTCCCCATCACTACAGGGTGGAATGGGGGAGGGACGGGGAGAGCTTATGATCACAAGCTGCTTCAGTTCTGAGCTGGTCTACACAGCAGACGCCTCCATGGGCTCAAGTCCCCGGTGCGGAGAAGCATATCTCTTCCAGAGGCAACTACACTGCTCAGTTACTGCACATAAGTGCCGCTCTCGGACCCAGAACCTGATTTAGAGTTACTTTCCCTTTAAGCCACCACTTTAGTTTTGGCTAAGAAAGGAGAATTGGCATCTTCCCTTAGAAACTTTTTAAAAGTTGATGCCAGCCGGGCTTGGTGGCTCAGCCTGTAATCCCGTGCCTTTGGGAGGCTGAGGTGAGTGGATTGCCTGAGCCCACGGGTTCGAGACCCGCCTGGGCAGTGAGACCTCATCTCTACAATAAATCAAAAAATCAGCCGGGCGTGGTAGCTCGTGCCTGTAGTTCCAGCTACTTGGAAGGCTGAGGTGGAAGGATCACCTGAGCCCAGCAGGTTGAAGCTGTGTTGGCTGTGAATGTGCCACTGCACTCCAACCTGGGTGACAGAGAGTGAGACTCCAACTCAAAAAAAAAAAAAAAAAGTTGATGCCAAATACCTTTATATCTGTCCACCAACTTTCATCGTAAGGTGGACCATTATATAAGGGATACATACACTTTTTTTTTTTGAGTCAAAGTCTCACTCCTTCGCCCAGGCTGGAGGGCAGTGGCACATTCACAGCCAACGCAGCCTCAACCTGCTGGGCTCAGGTGATCCTTCTGCCTCAGCCTTCCAAGTAACTGGAACTACAGGCATGTGCCACCATGCCTAGCTGATTTTTCTTGATTTATTTTAGAGATGAGGTCTCACCAAGTTGCCCAGGCTGGTCTCGAACCCGTGGACTCGGGCCATCCTCTCACCTCGGCCTCCCAAGGTGCTGAGATTATAGGTGTGAGCCACCGTGCCTGACCGATACATAACATTTTCTACTCAGGTTCCTCAGACATCAGGTGTACTACCACTTGGCATTACACAGAAAACTAAGTAAAAAGAGGGGAATAGGGAGAAATTGCTTCATGGGTAGGAGATTTCACTTCAGGGTGACAGGACTGACTTAGAACTGGACACACATGGAGTTGCCTCGGCTGATCGCAAGCTCCGGGGCCAAGCGCAGAGCCGAACCCTAACCCACCTCGGCCTCCCCAAGTGCTGGATACAGGCATGAGCCACTGAGCTTGGCCAATTTTTTTAACCTAATTGAAACGCTGCTTCCTTCTATTATTCTTAAAATATATTACTTCAAAATACTAGCACTTTATCTCTACTGATACATGTGATTTAAATAAGACGCCCTATATAAAACCGATCTTTTAATATAATATTTTAAAAGAATCATCAAAATAACACTCCTACCTGTGTTTTCAGACTTTAACATTTTAATTTCTTCTGTTTTCAGTTTCAAATTCTCTTTGAGGATTGCATTTTCACAGTTTAGTCTGAAAAAAAGTATTCTTCAAATAATAAAAATACTAAGACTCCCTCGCTAAGCAAGAATATTTTTAATTACATAATTAGGACACAAGAAGCAAAATATAATTTTTCTTACTTCAAAATAGTCTGGAATTTACATGTGTCACAAAAATAAAAAACAATTTAAGGAATGTGGTAAGATTTTAAACATTCTTAACTCTTCTGCATACTTAGCTGAGGAACAATAATGAACCAGAAATATTTCTCGATGTCCATTTTGCATACTTATTCTCTTAAGTTTTACTTCAACTTCATAACCATGTGAACACCAACTGCATGCTTGGGCCATCTTCAAAAACTTGCCTAAAAAGAAACACAGACCCTCATGCCCACTCTGCGCTTTGGGTGATAACAATGTGTCAACGTGGTTCATCGGTTATAACAAAGGTGCCACCTTGGTGGGGATGTTGACAGTGCGGGAGGTTATGCATGTGAGGGTCACAGGCATGTGGGAGTCTCCAGACCTTCTGCTCAAGCTTGCTGTGACCTGTATGTGCTCTAAAGAAATAATTATGAAGTCTTTCATGGGAAGGAAAGACGTGTGAGGTATAAAGTCCTGCTGACAGCAGCATTATCTGACATAACCAAAGGTTCACCAAGTGTCCATCAAGGGATAAATAAGACAACAAAATGTAGTATATACATACAAGGGAATATTATTTGGTCTTTTTATTTTATTTTTTTGAGTTGGAGTCCTCTGTCACCCAGGCTGGAGTGCAGGGGCATGCTCATGGCCACCACAGCCTCCACCTGCAGGGCTCCTTCCACCTCAGCCTTCCAAGTAGCTGGAACTACAGGTGCATGCTACCACGCCCAGCTGATTTTTTGATTTATTGTAGAGACGAGGTCTCGCCAAATTGCCCAGGCTGGTCTCGAACCCACGGGCTCAGGCAATCCACTCACCTCAGCCTCTCAAAGGCGCGGAATTACAGGTTGAGCCACCGAGCCCGGCTTCTTTTTCTTTTTTTTTTTTGAGTAGGAGTCTCACTCTGCCACCCAGGCTGGAATGCTGCGACACGCTCATGGCCACCGCAGCCTTGACGTGCTTGGACTCAGGCGATCCTTCTGCCTCAGTCTTTCAAGTAGTTGAAACTACAGGCATGTGCCACCACACCAGCTGAGTTTTTGATTTGTTGTAGAGATGAGGTCACACCCAGTTCCCAGGCTGGTCTCGAACCTGTGGGCTCTGCCTCCCAAATTGCTAGGATTATTGGCGTGATCCACTGCACCCGGACCAACAGTATGAATATTCTTTTTTTTTTTTTTTTTTTTTTGAGTTGGAGTCTCACTCTGTCGCCCAGACTGGAGGGCAGTGGCCGCTCCCGGCCACCTCAACCTCGACCCGCTCGGCTCCAGCGATCCTGCCGTCTCAGCCTTCCAAGTAGCCGGAATCACAGGCATGTGCTACCACGCCCGGCTGATTTTTTGATTTATTGTAGAGATGAAGTCTCGCTGCCCAGGCGGGTCTGATGCCACTGAACTGTCCACTTAAAAATGGTTAAGATTACAAATATTTTAGCCGGGTGCGGTGGCACGTACCCGTAGTTCCAGCAACTTGGAAAGCTGAGGTGGAAGGATCACCTGAGTCCAGCAGGTCAAGGCTGAGGTGACAGAGTGAGACTCCAACTCAGAAAAAAAAAAAAAAGATTGTCAATTTGTGTGTGTGTGTGTGAGAGAGAGAGTTGGAGTTTCACTCTAGGTTGGAGTGCAGTGGCACACTCACGGCCACCCCAGCGTTCACCTGCTGGGCTCCAGCAAGCCTTCCACTCCAGCCTTCCAAGTAGCTGGAACTACAGGCACATGCCACTATGCCTGGCTAATTTTTCATTTATTGTAGAGATGAGGTATCGCCAAGTTGCCCAAACTGGTCTCAAACCCCTGGGCTCAGCTAATCCTCTCACCTCCACGTCCCAAGGTGCTGGGATTATAGGTGTCAGCTACCACATCCAGCCAAACTTATAGTTTTAAATAAAAATATCTATCAAGACAGTTTGTGCTGTTTGTAGGGAATATTATATCCTCTACTTAGGATTGCCCTCAGATCACCAAAACAATAGCCAAGAGATTGAAGCTTCTCAATTCAAAGTAAGATGGAAATCTAAGGCATGCCTTTCCACAGATTATATCACCAATAAAATGTGAAACAGTATTTTCAAACAAAGTCTCTAATCCTAGAGGAATAAAGTACCTTTATTAACACAGCATCTTCCTGAGATAGGTTTGGGATTTTCCTACTGAATTCTGAGTAACTCTGATATCATGAGGCAGCTCTTTAGATGCTTACAAATATGTCAGTAGATCTATTTAAACTACTTTATTTATTAATTTTAAAAGACAACATCCTGGCCAGGTACAGTGGTTTGCACCTATAATCCCAGCACTTTGGGAGGTTGAGGAGGGATGATCACTTGAGTCTAGGGGTTTGAGACGAGTCTGGGCAACATAGCGAGACCTCATCTCTACAAAAAAATTAAAAAATCAGCTGGGAGTCGTGATGTGCCCCTGTAGTCCCAGTTACTCAGGAAGTTGAAGTGGAAGAGGATCACCTGAGCCCAGGAGGCCAAGACTTCAGTGAGCCATGATCGTGCCACTGCACTCCAGCCTGGGCAGCGGAGTGAGACCCCAACTCAAAATAAAATAAAACAAAATAAAACAACCCTCCCAGTCAAATGCATGAACTCTGCTGCCCAATTAGTTATTTTTTGTGCATCTTTCCCCAGCTCTGCTGATCTGAAGAGCATCCTAAAAGACAACCTGTTGACCAAGTATAAGTCTGTGTATAAGTCAGAAGTTTCTGGATTCTGTGCAGTCCAAAAAAAAACCAGAATAAGCTGGGTATGGTGGCAAGTATCCCCTGGTCCCAGCTGCTTGGGAGACTGAGGCAGAAGGATCACTTGAGCCTATCAGATTGAGGCTGTAGTGAGCTATGATGGCACCAGTGCACGGCAGCCTGGGTGACAGAGTGAGAGCCTGTCAATAAAAAATAAAATGTAAATAAATGAGATAAAAATAAAATTGAAAGTTAAAAACTGAGTAAACAACACTATGAAACTGGAAGAAATTAGGATGACATTCGCTTGAAGAGGCTGTGAGGAAATGCTCTCCTATGTTGCTGGTCAGAATACAATTTGGTACAAAGCTTGCTGAAAGGAATTTGGCAACAGCTATTAAATCTATATACATGGTGACCTTTTGACTCAGCAATTCTACCTCTAACATTTACCCTGAAAATATATCTCCAACAATGTAAAAATATATAAATCAAGGTTATTTACCGGAGCGTTGTTTACAATTGGACAATTGCAAAACACTGGAAACAATGTGAGCACCAGGCCCATCCACACCATGGATTTCCAGGACATAATATTGTTAAATGGAAAAACAATCAAAAAGAGTATTTACAGTAATGCTGCCTTTTGTGTAAGAAAGAAAGAGAAATAAGAAAATACACATATATCTGCTGTTTGTGCAAACAGAAAGACAGGAAGGCTAAGCCAAAAATAACAAGATTGGTTTTTTTTTTTTTGAGTTGGAGTCTCACTCGGTCGCCCAGACTGCTGGAGTGAAGTGGCCGCTCCCGGCCACCGCAGCCTCGACCCGCTGGGCCCCGGCGATCCTTCCGCCTCAGCCTTCCGAGTAGCTGAAATTACAGGCACGCGCTACCATGCCCGGCTGATTTTTGATTTATTGTAGAGATGAGGTCTCGCTGCCCAGGCGGGTCTTGAACACGCGGGCTCAGGCAATCCACTCACCTCAGCCTCCCAAAGGCGCGGGATTACAGGCTGAGCCACCGAGCCTGGCTGGTTATTTTTTATTTATTGTAGAGATGAGGTCTCACCAAGTTGCCCAGGCTGGTCTCGAACCCATGGGTTCAGGTAATCCTCTCACCTTGGCCTCCCAAAGTGCTGGGATTATAGGCATGAGCCACTGCGCCTGCCTAGATTGGTTATTTTTAGACAGCGAGGGAAAGACAGCAGGACGAGAGGTGGGGAATGGCGTAAAGGGCACGGAGGAGGAAACACTTTTCCGAGTCTACCTTTCTCAGTAGCTCTGACTTTTGGGAGCAGGTTAATCTTTCCCCAAGGTCTAACAAACCAACAGGCTGGGTCAGTGGCTCACACCTGTAATCCTAGCACTTTGGGGAGCCACAGAGGGAGGCTCACTTGAGGCCGGAGTTTGAAAGCAGTCTGGGCAAGACAGAGGCAGGATTTGAATGAGACTTAACTCAGGAAAAAAAAAAGAAGAAAAGAAAAGAAAAGAATATTGTGGTATGTAGATATACTATGAATAATTATTTTAATTTACAAAAGGAAATAATAATAGTAATTGCTTCTAACCCATTCAGTAAACCAATAAACCAAGAATCCATGAGTCCATATTGGTATAAACAAACAAACAGAGGAAAAGCTCTTGTTCTTTCAAGCTGACGTCTGAATCTGTTGCTCAGGTTGGAGTACAATGGCAAGATCACAGCTTACTGCAAGTTCAACTTCCTGGACTCAGATGATCCTTCTGCCTCAGCTTCTTGAGTAGCTGGGACTACAGGCATGCGCCACCGGGCCCAACTATTTATTTATTTTTTTGTAGGGACTGGTCTCAAGCTTGACTGGTTGTCAAGTCATCTTCCCACCTTGGCTTCCCAAAATGCTGGGATTACAGATGTGAACCACTGTGACAAATCACTATTTATCAAACACTGTAGTAATACTTGCTTCAGGCTGAATAATCAGTAGGTATAAAACTAGTGGGTCCTGTAATCCCGCGCCTTTGGGAGGCTGAGGTGAGTGGATTGCCTGAGCCCGTGGGTTCGAGACCCGCCTGGGCAGCGAGACCTCAGCTCTACAATAAATCAAAAAATCAGCCAGGCGTGGTAGCGCACGCTTGTAATTCCGGCTGCTTGGAAGGCCAAGGCGGAAGGATCGCCGGAGCCCAGCAGGTCGAGGCTGCGGTGGCCGGGAGCGGCCACTGCACTCCAGTCTGGGCGACAGAGTGAGACTCCAACTCAAAAAACAAAAACAAAAAACTAGTGGGTAACAATTTCATGTGTAACAGTACATTTACATAATCTCTAAGTATGTTTCCGCAAGATACTTATTAAATACAAGGGGAAAGTGAGAAACACGGCAGACATCACACCTTAAGGAAGTGATCAAGATTCACATCCTAGTGACGTGACAAATCAACATCACATGCCTCCTGATATGACACAAAACAGCACCTCTGTGATGATCCTGCCAAAAATGCATAACCTAAACCGAATTCAGAAACCAGACATAGCCACCGTGGGATACTGTATAAGATCAATGACCTGTACACCTCAAAAAATGTCGATGTCATTTAAAGAGAAAGAAAGACCAAGGAACTGTTTCATATTAAAGGGGCGTAAAATTTAGATGTCACAACTAAATGTAATCAGTGATCCTGGAATAGAGGAAAATATTTTTCTCATTTGCTCAAATTTTTATGCTATTAGGACAACTGGGAAAATCTGAATATAGTCTGTGGATTAAATAATTATATTGTGTCGAAGTTAATGTCTTGACTTTGATAATTATGCTATGGTTATAAAAGAGAATGTCCTTTTTAAAAACACAAATTGGTTGGGTGCAGTGAGTCACTCCTGTGATCCCAGCACTTTAGGAGGCAGAGGCAAGAGGAATGCCTGAGCCCAAGGGTTTGAAGCCAGTTTGGGCAACGTGTGAGATCTTGTCTCCACAATAAAAGAGAGAGAGAAAAAAGGCTTGGTGTGGTGGTTGGCCTGTGGGTGGGCCTGTGGTTCTAGCTACTTGGAAGGCTGAGGTGCTGAGGTGGAAGGATCGCCTGAGCCCAGGAGATCAAGGCTGTGCTGGTCTTGATCATGCCACTGCATTTGGCAGCAGAGTAAGACTCTGACTTAAAAAAAAAAAACAAAAAACTGGACAGGCACAGTGGCTCAAGGTTGTAATCCCAGCACTTTGGGAGGCCGAGGTGAGTGGATTGCCTGAGTTCAGTCAGGGGTTCGAAACCAGACTGGGCAACTTAGTGAGACCTCGTCTCTACAATAAATCAAAAAATAAATTGGGCACGGTAGCGCGTGCCTGTAGTTCCAGCTGCTTGGAAGGCTGAGACAGAAGGATCGCCTAAGCCCAGCTGGTTGAGGCTGCGGTGGCTGTGAGTGTGCCACTGCACTCCAGCCTGGGTAACAGTGAGACTTCAACTCAAAAAAACAGAAAACAAACAAAAAAGCTGAAGTATAGCCGGGCTCGGTGGCTCAGTCTGTAATCCCGCGCCTTGGGAGGCTGAGATGAGTGGATTGCCTGAGCCCGCAGGTTCGAGACCTGCCTGGGCAACTTGGCGAGACCTCATCTCTACAATAAATCAAAAAATCAGCCAGGCATGGTAGTGTGCGCCTGTAATTCCAGCTACTTGTAAGGCTGAGGCGGAAGAATCGCTGGAGCCCAGCAGGTCGAGGCAGCCACTGCACTCCAGTCTGGGTGACAGAGTGAGACTCCAACTCAAAAAAAACAAAAAAACAACAACAAAAAAAGCTGAAGTATTCAGAGCAAGGAGGCCTCATATATACAATATACCTTTAAGTGGTTCTAGATACATATAAAAATTACATATACCACTATCTATCTATAAAGAAGAAGAAAGGGAAAAATAATAAAGCAAATGCAGTAAAGAGTTAAAATTTGGGGAATCTCAGTGAAAGATACATAGAAATTCTTTGTACTGCTCTTCCAACTTTCCTTTAAGTCCTCAATGATTTCAAGATAAAAAGTTAATAAATAATAAATTTAAAATTAGGTAATAATGCTATTTCTTTTTTTTTTTTTTTTTTTTTTTGAGTTGGAGTCTCACTCTGTCGCCCAGACTGGAGTGCAGTGGCTGCCTCGACCTGCTGGGCTCCAGCTATCCTTCCGCCTCAGCCTTCCAAATAGCTGGAATTACAGGCGCACACTACCATGCCCGGCTGATTTTTTGATTTATTGTACAGATGAGGTCTCGCCAAGTTGCCCAGGTGGGTCTCGAACCCGCGGGCTCAGGCAATCCACTCACCTCGGCCTCCCAAAGGCGCAGGATTACAGGCTGAGCCACCGAGCCCAGCGCTTTTTCTAATTCTAGAATCAGATCCATTTCTACATGACTTACAGTAAGCATATAAAGTTATTAAATAAACTCACACTAATAAAAGAGTTTCTCAAAATACTTTTAAAAAATGATTTCTTTGGGAGACCAAGGTGAGAGGATTGCCTGAGTCCACAGGTTTGAGAATAGTCTGGGCAACCTGGCAAGACCTCATCTCTACAGTTAAAAAAAAAAAAATTAGCCAGGCATGGTGGTGCGTGCCAATAGTGCCAGCTACTTAGAAGGCTGAGGCAGAAGGATCACCTGAGCCCAACAGGTCGAGGATGCCATGGCCATCAGCGTTTCACTGCACTCTAGCCTGGGTGATAGAGTGAGACTCTAACTAAAAAAAAAGTAAAATAAAATATAAAAAAAAATTTCAAAGCCAAGATAATTTTAAAAACATGGCTCACATACAGTTTACACTTAAAAAAAAAAACTAACAGAAAAATATGAAACTAGTAAATGGATAAGAAATAATAATTTGGGGCCAGGTGCAGTGGCTCATGCCTATAATCCCAACACTTTGGGAGGCCAAGGTAAAAGGATTGCCCATGGGTTCGAGCCCACGGGTTCGAGACCAGCCTGGGCAACTTGGTGAGACCTCATCTCTACAATAAATCAAAAAAAGAAGCTGGGCATGGTGGTGCATGCCTGTAGTTCCAGCTATTTGGAAGGCTGAGGCAGAAGGATCACCTAAGCCCAGCAGGTCGAGGCTGCGGTGGCCGGGAGTGTGCCACTATACTCCAGCCTGGGCGACAGAGTGAGACTCCAACTCAAAAAATAAAGAAATAAAATAAAAATAATAATTTTATGATATTTTTCAATTGAAAGAAGAAGAAAGACTAAGTTATATGTGAATTACATACATTTTAAAGATTTTCTAAGAAAATTATGGAATAATAGTATACAAACCTGTCATATTTCTGAGTCCAAGATTCCTCTATATTTTTAAATCTATTCTGATCAAATTCCATTTCCCACTGCAAGACATTTATTTCCTATGGGAAATTACAAATAAATCATTTCAGGACACTGTGAATAGCTTATATAAATCATGTAATCATTTCACAGAAAAGATTTATAGAGAAAAATTAATTATTGTCCGAAAAGAGCAATAATCATTTTTCTTAGGCAATATATAACACACCTCATTAGTACTCAAAAAACTTTGCCAAAGCTCACTTTATATCAAAAAAATTTCAAATTGTTTGACTTCAAAATTTGCTTGACTGAACCTAGATCTCTCAGGGCCCATGCGCCACCCCATGTAGTCACCACAAGCAAAACGTACTCCCAGAAATCTTAGCCCGAACAGTCCAGGAAAGCTGACCATCTAGGGTGATTCCTAACTACCTTTATAGTGACAAAGAGATGGTCAGAAAGAAGCAGGCCTTGTCAGGCAAGCTGGGGGGCAGGGGAGGCAGAAAAAAGAAGTCAGAAGTAAGTTTGGCAGGCCTCCTACGACCTTAATGTGGGGAAACAAAATGAAACTTAATTCTCTCCTATGTGACAATCTGTTTTGGATTATAAACTCCTAAAGGGAAGACCTTCAGATAACAGAGGGTCTGCACCAATGACTTATCTATGAGTATGATGAGTTTAAGGAAATTCTACTGAAAGCTTATTGGACTGAACAAGTCTATGCTCCAAGTGGCAAATACCTTCTCCAGCGATCTCTTCTGTTCCACAGTTTTTTGCAGTACTGCCTGGGTGTGACTTGTGGCTTTGCCAAGTATTGCCTAAAAAAAACCCCAAACAACAAAAGTGTAAATTAAATTTCTAATCACTCCTATATGCACAGTGAAGTTCACATTTTTATTTTATGAGAATTGAAAATTAACTTGAAATGAGACTCTTATAGTGACCTTTTTTTTTCCTTTTTTTTTTTGAGTTAGAGTCTCACTCTATCACCCAGGCTGGAGTGCAGTGGCACACAACCACCACAGCCTTGACCTGCTGGTCTCAGGCAATCCTTCCACCTCAACCTTCCAAGTAGCTGGAACTACAGGCATGTGCCACCACGCCCACCTAATTTGTTTTAAATTTACTGTAGAGACAAGGTTTCACTAAGGTGCCCAGGCTGGTCTCAAACCCCTAGGCTCAGGCAATCCTCTTGTCTCAGTCTCCCAAAGTACCGGGATTACAGGCGTAAGCCACCATGCCCAGCTCACAGTGACCATTTTTTTGTGGAAAGTTTGATAGCTCAGAAGTCAGGAGATCTTGGTTTGGTTCCTTTCCAATGACTATGGGGATGAGTGGATGCATTTTCCACAAAGGAAACATTCACAGTAGTATTAATAGTCAAAAGGTGGAAGCAACTGGTGAGTGGATAACAAGATGTATGTCTGTACACTGAAGTGTTTTTGGCAGTAAAAGGGAAGAAAGTACCAATGAATGCTACAGCACGCATGGAGCTCAAAGACATGCTAATTGAAAGAATCCAGGTAAAAGGGAATTCTATCCCACATCCTATGACTTTATTTAATGAAGTAGAAAAGACAGAAAAGCAAATCTATAAGACAGAGAGCAAACGAATGGTTGTCTGGGGCTGGGAGTGGGAAACAGGCGTCAATACAATGGGCACGAAGTCCCTATCTTTGGGCGTTGGAAATGTTTTCAAATTAGATTGCAGTGGTAGCAGCATACCTCTAAGTTTAGTCAAAAATAAAATTGTACTGTACACTTAAAACAAGTGAAATTCATGGTATGTGAATTATAAAGCTGTTAAAAACATATATACAGCTGGGCTCAGTGGCTCAGCCTGTAATGCCAGCACTTGGGGAGGCTGAGGTGAGTGGATGGCCTGAACCCGCAGGTTTGAGACCCGCCTGGGCAACTTGGCGAGACCTCATCTCCACAATAAATCAAAAATGAGCCGGGCGTGGGAGCGCGCGCCTGTAGTTCCGGCTACTTGGAAGGCTGAGGCGGAAGGCTCGCTGGAGCCCAGCAGGTCGAGGCTGCAGTGGCCGAGAGCGGCCACTGCACTCCAGCCTGGGTGACAGAGTGAGACTCCAACTCAAAAATAAAAAAAATTTAAAACACATATATAACTAAAAACTCAACTATAATAAGCACTGCTGCTCTTGTTTTAAAAGGTAAAACTATGCCAATTATTACTGACATGTGTAAGAGATGAAAGTTTAAAAACAATTTCTTCTTACCATGCTTTGAAGAATTTTCAATGCTGCCTCTTTACCTTCAAGTTGTCTTTGAGATGCCTCAAGTTCAGTTTTTAAAATCTCTACCTCCTGAGGACAGAAATAAAATTAGTCTTCCTATCTGAAAGATATGCAACTCCCAAATTATCAATTTGGCTGGTCTACTATGCTGGCTCAAAACACTTACAAACGAGGTTGGAAATGTCTCTGGATTTCATGAGTGAACCAGACATGCTAAAATTGACAGCTTCACTACTTGGAAGGCTGAGGCGGAAGGATCACGGGAGCCCAGCAGGTCGACACTGGGGTGGCCGTGAGTGTGCCACAGCATTCTAGCCTGGGTGACACAGTGAGACTCCAACTTAAAAAAAAAAAATTTAAACCACATAAACTAAGCACATGGTCATCTACACAGATACAGTAGTAGTCTGGTCTCCAGAAAGATATGTTCAACTCCTAACCTCAGGTACCATGGATATGACCTTTGCAAACAGGGTCTTTGTAGATGTGTTTAAAGAAAATGTAAAACAATTTTTTTTTTTTTTTTGAGTCAGAATCTCACTCTGCTGCCCAGGCTTATGTGCAGTGGGATGCTCACGGCCACTCCAGCATAGACCTGCTGGGCTCAGGTGATCCTTCCTCCTCACCCTCCCAAGTAGCTGGAACTACAGGCACGCGCTACCATGTTCGGCTATTTTTTATTTTATTGTAGCGACAAGTTCTCGCCAAGTTGCCTGGGCTGGTCTCAAACCCTTGGGCTCAGGTAAACCACTTGCCTTGCCCTCCCAAAGTGCTGGGATTACAGGTTGAGTCACTGAGTCCGGCCAATCCCAACACTTTTAAAGGCCAAGGCAGGAGGATGGCTTCAGCTCAGGAGTTAGACCAATCTGGGCAACACAGTGAGAACCCATCTCTGTAAAAAAAAAAAAAAAAAAAGAAGAAGAAGACAGAAAAAAGAAGGAGCAGCAAGATAGAGGCAAGAAGGATTCTCCTCTAAAGCTTTCAAAGGGAACGTGGCCCACCCACAGCACGATTCTAGCTTCCAAAACGGAAAGGATATATATTTCTGTTGTTTTAAGCCACCAGTTTGATGTACTTTGTCCCAGCAGCCCTAGGAAATTAAAACAGTAGCTTTCACAAGAAGAGTCACAAGCACACACTAAAGTGGGCTTCCTGTTTCCCAAAGGACAGGCATCCCTCCCAGAAACTGCTATTCCCTCCAAGCTGCGTGGGCTCCTTAGACCACGGGAGAGACTCACTGGTCTTCTGGCTTTGAGGAGGTTAAATGATGTCAGATTGTTTCAAGCCACACAGACAGGGAAGGCAGATGGAAGAAAGTGATAACTACTTCTCAAGGAGAAAGATAAGAAACCAGGAGACTGGGCACGGTTGCTCATGCACGTAATCCCAGCACTTTGGGAGGCACAGGTGGGAGGATTGCTTGAGCCTAGGAGTCCCAGACCAGCCTAGGCAACATAGCGAGACCTTATCTCTACAAAAATAAAAAATTAGTCAGGGGTGGAGGCATACGCCTATAGTCCCAGCTACTCGGGAGGCTGAGGTGGAAGGACAGCCTGAGCCCAGGAGATCAAGGCTGCAGGGAGTTGGGATCCTACCACTGCACTCCAGCCTGGGGAGCAGAGTGAGACCCTGACTCAAAAAAAAAAAAGAAGAAGAAAGAAAGAAAGGAGCTGAAAAAGAGGAGCTTTAGACTGTGGTTCATCAAGAACACATGGAAAACCAGTATTTGCCTTCCACACAGTTTTAGTACTATCCAAACAAACTATCTATCAATAGATTTTTTTTTTTTTTTTGAGTCGGAGTCTCACTCTGTCGCCCAGACTGGAGTGCAGTGGCCGCTCCCGGCCACCGCAGCCTCGACCTGCTGGGCTCCGGCGATCCTTCCACCTCAGCCTTCCGAGTAGCTGGAACTACAGGCACGCGCTAGCATGCCTGGCTGATTTTTGATTTATTGTAGAGATGAGGTCTCGCCAAGTTGTCTGGGCGGGTCTCGAACCCACAGGCTCAGGCATTCCACTTACCTCGGCCTCCCAAAGGCGCAGGATTACAGGCTGAGCCACCAAGCCTACCTATCAATGGATTTTATTTACATGAGAATGTTTATATTAGTCAGAGTACCTACCTCTAAAGTTTCATGAAGATGCTGCCTTAACTCTTCATTTGACAATTCTGAATTAGAATCTATTAGAAAAAAAAAAAACTTGAATATTTTCTTTCACTAATTAAATACAGGACATTTGTTCACAAATTATTAAGTACAGCTTTTCCCTAAATCACAAAAAGAATTATAATGGTCCAAATAATGATAAAAATATGTAGCTTAAAACATTTCACAAGTGGAGATATATTACATGTTTAAATAAAAAGATGTAAAAAGTGACTTTACAAATAAAACTTATGCTAATTCATTGGTTAATTACTACATTCAAACACAAAATAGAAAAACATGAATGTTGGTGGGTGAAATAAAGAGATTTTGGTGTTTGGCTTAAGCGTGATCAATGTAGTAACATGAATACCTGTGAAATAACCTGAATTCAATTTCTTCCCAAGGAGAATGACAAGACTTTTATAACTTCAATTATTCTCTCCTTCTTGATCCCAAATGGAAAAGATGAAAAGAAAAAAATTTTTTTTTAAAAATTATTCTCTCCTTAATGTGATCAATTAAGAAATTAAGTTGAAGCCAGGCTTGGTGGCTCAGCCTGTAATCCCGCACTTTGGGAGGCTGAGGTGAGTGGATTGCCTGAGCCCGCAGGTTCGAGAATCACCTGGGCAACTTGACGAGACCTCATCTCTACAATAAATCAAAAAATTAGCTGGGTGTGGTAGTCCGTGCCCTACTTGGGAGGCTGAGGCGGAAGGATCGCCGGAGCCCAGCAGGTTGAGGCTGCGGTGGCCAGGAGCAGCCACTGCACTCCAGTC